TTTTATACAACCATTGGATTGCAAATTGGAAACGCATTTCCTTTATTTGATCAACTAGCGAATATAAAAGTAAAAATTAAATTTATTAAATAATCAAAGAAAAAATATGTTACAATAAGAAAGTAAATTAATTATAATACACTAAATTAAACTAATCATAATTGACAAGATATAATAATTAACAATACATATAAATGCAAAATACATTAGATGCAAAAACTGTGTGTCGAATTTCATTCATTCAATTATCTTGCATATGGATCTATAAATTTTGTTACACGTACAAATAAATTTACACATGCGATGCGATAAAATCAATATAAATTAAATAACATTATATAGAAAAAAAAGGAAAAAGATTTGCAAATGTATTTTTACATTTACTAAATTAAATATATAATTGCCTATTTTCTTACTTTGTCTATATGTAAACTCGTAAAACGGCGATTTATTTATATTTCCGATACAAAAACAATGAAATAGATGGATTATTAATGTTGAAATAATGATAAATATGAAAAAATTATTTAATATGTGTAATAATGAGAAGTTACATTTTGTAATATAATTTTATCTATCTCTTTTATTTACACAAATATATTTTTGGCTTGAACACTGATGAGCTCCTTGATCTTAAACTTGTTTTGTTTAGTATATTTAAAAATTGATACAATTCGCTAATATAATTAATGCTATCAGATTTCGAAAAATAAAGTACGCGTGATTATTCACTACATTGCATCTTAATATATATGTATTTTTCTTATATATGTATTCTTAATAGATATGTATTTTTGCATCTTAATATATATGTATTTCAGATTATTATCAATTCGAAAAATTTGACTAATATTAAACAAAATTTTATACAAAAATCTTCGGACTTACCATCATCTTCCCAATCCGATATATCTTCTGATATATCTGCATAATATATATGTATTTTAGATTATTTATCAATTCAAAAATTGAACTAATATTAAACATAATTTTATACAAAAATCTTCAAACTTACCATCATCTTCGCAATCCGATACCGACGGGCCCAGTCCGTCTTTTGATGGACCTGCACACTCAGCCATTTTGTTTAAAACGTTCTAACAAAATTACAGATGAACGCAAAACACACAATTCTTTATTTAATAGCTTATCACAATTACTCCGTCCACTCGAGATGCTTTTCTCCGTGATTCTGACGACCGTCAAACTGACAACTTTGACATCTGAAACGGTTCTCCGGCTTTACATTTTACCCTTGACGAAAGGAAACATTATTCTCCGGATCAAAACATATACACATAAACACGAATACACACGAATTCATATACCCACATTAGTATATATATATTGTACGTACGAAATATATTATTTGATTCCTATTGTCAAAGATTCAGAAATTATCTATAAAATTTAATTATAAACTAATCGTCATCTTATATATTATGATACAAAGATATTATAAATAAACATGCAAATTATTGTCCAGGCATTCTCGCTAAATAGATTATATTATTTAATATTATTTAATATATATTATATACGTTATCTTTATAGAAATTTGTTAGAAAATTATTTAAAGTTGTTAAATATACGCATGCAAATTAAATTTAAGCTTTTATTATTTTTTTAATATTTATAAAGACGAAAAAGTATATATATATTATTTCATATATATATATATATATGAAAAGAAAGCTTTACACGTATAAAAAAAAAATTCTATTTTCAGTTACATCAATCTTTGTAAATGATAAAAAATTATTATAATTACGATATAATTAAAGTCTATTATACAAAAAGAATAACGCTATAGCACTAAATTGAAGAAAAAGAATTATACACAAAAAATTTGAAGAAATATAACAAAATTGAATTTATAATTAATTATAATTGTACCTTTTCACTTCCAAATCACACACATAATATTGTATAGAGATTGTAAAGTTCATATATACACAGTGTACGTTAATTTACATCCTCATCGAAATTGACAATTTATTGCGACAGACAATAATAATCTTTAATCAAAACTATGTTTTTCCCTGAATCAATTAAAAATGCAAGAATAAATTAAGATTATAATAAAATTGAGGCGTTGGATGGAAAAAAGACACGTGTTGATATTATATATCCATTTGACGTCGAAAATTAATCATTTTCACTCTATTGACGTCATGTGTAAAAAAAAGTATCATAATTTGACATATACAATTATATTTAACGAAATGGATATATGTTTCGAACTATTTATTGTAATATGTTTTATTTGAACTAATATTCGGTAAGCGTCTTGTGCATTCTGGTTCGGAGACTAAGTCACGATTGGATACTACAATAATTGAAATTGATGAACTTACAAATTCCCCCAAATAATTTCTTAAAATTTTTACTCTCTCAACAGATAGATCTATGTATGTTTAAAACTACATGTGCATGTATTATAATTTAGTTTATCTAATATGTGTGTGTTGAAATTGCAAATTATGTAATGCGTTTATGTGGATAAAACAATTGAAAATTAAACTAAAAAATTAATATTAAAATTTTTCAAATATATTTTAAATATATTTATTTGTACGAAAATAATTTATCATAGTAATTGATTAGATTTTTTTTCATTCTGTATCGTAAAAAAAAACGATTTATTTTAACTTGTCTTTCACGCGCGAGTTTGGGACCGCGCCTTATCGCACGTAGTAAAGCGGGAAGCACACTCTTGCATAAGCGCATAAGAAATTCGATTGGTTGAATTTCTTGTGCATACATTTATAGACCAATCAAGATTCTTATGCTTACGCTTATGCTTATGCGCCTATGCAAAAGTGTGTGCTCCTATCTTAATACTCGGCAGAGGGCGTGCTTAGGAGCCCTCCACTCGGGAGAGCGGACCAGAGCTGACTCGATCGCGGAGAGAAGCGGACGCAAGCGTGAGGCGACACGTTTGTCGCGAGAACAAAGGCGTCCAGTATATTTTACCCGCGATAACGCTATTAGTTACCCTTAAGTGCAACGAAACTAGCTTGTATTCTAACCGAAGCAAATAAATATTGTGAAAGAAGAAGAGTCAAAATTCTTTTCGACCACACATAGTCGCTGACGCACTACTTCCAGAGTCACGTGTGGCGAGCACATGCCCTCAGCGTAATCATTTTTCACGCAACACATTTTGTGATTAATATATGTATAATAATGTTTGAAACTAATCAGTTTTTTTTTTATGAAAAATTAAAGAAATTAAGGAAAAATTAAAGAAATTTGACGTGATATCTTTTATTTGTTTGGCCTTATTAATCCAACAGATATTTTGATTATAAAATCCGTTCGAATCTTCTCTATTCTGAAATATGTATTTTTTAGTAGTATCAATTATTCAAAAATTGCTTAATGATAAAAAAAGGGAATTCTAAGTTTTTCTAAACTTTCTGAAAAATATATTCGGATTTTTGTCATCCTTTTAATACATTATGTCACAAGCTTTTAGTATCAATGGATAATACGTTGAATATCAATGAATTTTACGTTATTTTATACAAAACAGTCTAAAACAAATTAACTCGAAACTTCTATTTCCGTCATTTCCCATCAAGTTTTTAAATAAAAAACTTATAAATTATTATATGTTAGTATAAATATTTTTATATTCATCCATCTCATAATAAAAAGAATCACTTTGTTGAGCAAAACGTTCGTGCAATAAAGATCCGCAATTCTAATTGTAAGATGTATTATTTATAAAAAATTCTAAAAATTCGAATATGTAGATATGAAATGCTTTTGACATATCTTTGATATCTCGTTATAAATAATATAATGCAATCATTTGCGGCAAAATTGGTTATCTCCTTCATTCTTTCGGCTATGTTATATGTCACCCAGAAACTTTTGAGTATATCATCAGGCAATTTAAGCACATATTTTAAACGTGTATCGGTGTCACCATCACTGGATGCAAAGTAAATCATCGTAAGTCCCTCATATAAGCTGTACGGACTAAAAGCAATATTGCCGGATCTTATATTATTCGCATGATGCAAACAATCGAGCGCAAAATCGAAACGTGCTTCTTGTAGTTCTAGAACCCCTGATTTAAACATAAAAGACAAAAGATGAAAATTAGAAAGAAAAAAGTTAAGTTGAACTGACAAAGACGATAAAGAAGATTACAATATTACATAAATAAGTAATTACATTTTATATTATATTTTTTTTCATCAATTTTTAAATTATAAATTAAAATGTGTCTTAAGCAAATAGTTCTAAATTGTTTACCTTGAAAGTCGGCATGTTTCAATGCCTGTATCATCTCCTTCTAATGCCTTAACTCCATGTAGCAGCTCTTGCAACACCACGACTCCGTTAGGTTCCAACAATACGAGTACTAAATTAAAAATGTCATCTTGGTGATTTTTTGTTTAATCGTCCACGTATCTGAGACCAATGTAGCAGGTAACACGACGTACAGCGACGTGCCATCTCCTTCATCTCTTAGACAGGGAAACTCGCTCACGTGTATTGCTAATTTTTTCGAGAAACTAAAAAAAAAATTTATATTATGAAGAGCAATAAAAGATGCTAAAGATAGGTAAAATTAATGAAATCAAAATAGATTATTTGCTCATTAAAAATAAATATTTTTCAAAATACATATAGAATTCATATTTTTAACAATTTAGAGCTTTTTGCATAAAAACACATTTTAATTTGTAATTTAAAAATTAAGAAAAAAAACAAATATAAAAATTGCAAGTTACAAAATTATTGTTATTGTTTTTAAGAATTTTAAATATGCAGTTAACAATTATCTTTATTATTCTAATTATCTAATAATTATTATTCATTAAAATTTAAATTATTTATCAATGCACAATTTTTTAATTTCTTTATTAATAAATTGGTATTTGGACCTAATACCTAAAAGATTATAGTAAATAAAATATTAAAATAAAATTAAAAAATGGCATCCTTACAGCCTATGCGCTTTCGTTGATAAATATGAGCCGCTAATGAAGGCATTGATGATGCGACAGATAGAGATGAGGCTGTTGAAACTTTTTCGAATTTTGTGTATAGCGGAATATATTGTTAATACAAGTTCCGGCGATTTTCTTCGGTTCAGAAATACTAAAGGTTCAGACATGAAAGATGTTGTATAAACCTTCATGTATTTATTAATATGTGTTATTCTCTCGATCTCATTACGGCCTGCATTGTGCATAATATCAAAAAGTTCAAACTTCTTTGTATTATTAAAATATCTTGAAACTTTAGAGTTTCGGTTTCGTCGTCTTTTTTTATTTCTAGATCTTTTAACTCTGAAACTAGTCCAACAAAAACACTGATCCATAGAATAAGAAAAATCTTCATCTTCATTTTCTCTTATCAACTGATAACATAAAATAAAAAATTAAGTGAGACCTTTATTTATTTTAAATAATAAATATTTCTTTTTAAATCGCCTTATTAATAATGTATACTTTTAGCATTGCAAAGTTCGCGTTTGATAAAATTTTTTTATTTTAAATTTTATATAGAATGTAAAGTTTCTAATTATTTTCCATTATTGTATTATTTTTTGTAACTATTATTTACCTGTGCAAAGCGGTGTCTATAAGATGTATAATTTTCTATCTTAGGTTTAATCCAATGTTTGAAATAACTTGATTTAAAAATGATGCGTTTCAAGAGTTCCTTACTGTCATCATAGACCGTTAAATAAATTCTAAGAAGTCCATCATGAAGGCTAAACGGACATGACACAACATCATTCTCGCTTTGCATAATTTTATACAACCATTGGATTGCAAATTGGAAACGCATTTCCTTTATTTGATCAACTAGCGAATATAAAAGTAAAAATTAAATTTATTAAATAATCAAAGAAAAAATATGTTACAATAAGAAAGTAAATTAATTATAATACACTAAATTAAACTAATCATAATTGACAAGATATAATAATTAACAATACATATAAATGCAAAATACATTAGATGCAAAAACTGTGTGTCGAATTTCATTCATTCAATTATCTTGCATATGGATCTATAAATTTTGTTACACGTACAAATAAATTTACACATGCGATGCGATAAAATCAATATAAATTAAATAACATTATATAGAAAAAAAAGGAAAAAGATTTGCAAATGTATTTTTACATTTACTAAATTAAATATATAATTGCCTATTTTCTTACTTTGTCTATATGTAAACTCGTAAAACGGCGATTTATTTATATTTCCGATACAAAAACAATGAAATAGATGGATTATTAATGTTGAAATAATGATAAATATGAAAAAAATTATTTAATATGTGTAATAATGAGAAGTTACATTTTGTAATATAATTTTATCTATCTCTTTTATTTACACAAATATATTTTTGGCTTGAACACTGATGAGCTCCTTGATCTTAAACTTGTTTTGTTTAGTATATTTAAAAATTGATACAATTCGCTAATATAATTAATGCTATCAGATTTCGAAAAATAAAGTACGCGTGATTATTCACTACATTGCATCTTAATATATATGTATTTTTCTTATATATGTATTCTTAATAGATATGTATTTTTGCATCTTAATATATATGTATTTCAGATTATTATCAATTCGAAAAATTTGACTAATATTAAACAAAAATTTATACAAAATCTTCGGACTTACCATCATCTTCCCAATCCGATATATCTTCTGATATATCTGCATAATATATATGTATTTTAGATTATTTATCAATTCAAAAAATTGAACTATATTAAACATAATTTATATACAAAAATCTTCAAACTTACCATCATCTTCGCAATCCGATACCGACGGGCCCAGTCCGTCTTTTGATGGACCTGCACACTCAGCCATTTTGTTAAAACGTTCTAACAAAATTACAGATGAACGCAAAACACACAATTCTTTATTTAATAGCTTATCACAATTACTCCGTCCACTCGAGATGCTTTTCTCCGTGATTCTGACGACCGTCAAACTGACAACTTTGACATCTGAAACGGTTCTCCGGCTTTACATTTTACCCTTGACGAAAGGAAACATTATTCTCCGGATCAAAACATATACACATAAACACGAATACACACGAATTCATATACCCACATTAGTATATATATATATTGTACGTACGAAATATATTATTTGATTCCTATTGTCAAAGATTCAGAAATTATCTATAAAATTTAATTATAAAACTAATCGTCATCTTATATATTATGATACAAAGATATTATAAATAAACATGCAAATTATTGTCCAGGCATTCTCGCTAAATAGATTATATTATTTAATATTATTTAATATATATTATATACGTTATCTTTATAGAAATTTGTTAGAAAATTATTTAAAGTTGTTAAATATACGCATGCAAATTAAATTTAAGCTTTTATTATTTTTTTTAATATTTATAAAGACGAAAAAGTATATATATATTATTTCATATATATATATATATATGAAAAGAAAGCTTTACACGTATAAAAAAAAATTCTATTTTTCAGTTACATCAATCTTTGTAAATGATAAAAAATTATTATAATTACGATATAATTAAAGTCTATTATACAAAAGAATAACGCTATAGCACTAAATTGAAGAAAAAGAATTATACACAAAAAATTTGAAGAAATATAACAAAATTGAATTTATAATTAATTATAATTGTACCTTTTCACTTCCAAATCACACACATAATATTGTATAGAGATTGTAAAGTTCATATATACACAGTGTACGGTAATTTACATCCTCATCGAAATTGACAATTTATTGCGACAGACAATAATAATCTTTAATCAAAACTATGTTTTCCCTGAATCAATTAAAAATGCAAGAATAAATTAAGATTATAATAAAATTGAGGCGTTGGTTGGATGGAAAAAGACACGTGTTATATTATATATCCATTTGACGTCGAAAATTAATCATTTCACTCTATTGACGTCATGTGTAAAAAAAGTATCATAATTTGACATATACAATTATATTTAACGAAATGGATATATGTTTCGAAACTATTTATTGTAATATGTTTTATTTGAACTAATATTCGGTAAGCGTCTGTGCATTCTGGTTCGGAGACTAAGTCACGATTGGATACTACAATAATGAAATTGATGAACTTACAAATTCCCCCAAATAATTTCTTAAAATTTTTACTCTCTCAACAGATAGATCTATGTATGTTTAAAACTACATGTGCATGTATATAATTTAGTTTATCTAATATGTGTGTGTGAAATTGCAAATTATGTAATGCGTTTATGTGGAATAAAACAATTGAAAATTAAACTAAAAAATTAATATTAAAATTTTTCAAATATATTTTAAATATATTTATTTGTACGAAAATAATTATCATAGTAATTGATTAGATTTTTTTCATTCTGTATCGTAAAAAAAAACGATTTATTTTAACTTGTCTTTCACGCGCGAGTTTGGGACCGCGCCTTATCGCACGTAGTAAAGCGGGAAGCACACTCTTGCATAAGCGCATAAGAAATTCGATTGGTTGAATTTCGTGTGCATACATTTATAGACCAATCAAGATTCTTATGCTACGCTTATGCTTATGCGCCTATGCAAAAGTGTGTGCTCCTAATCTTAATACTCGGCAGAGGGCGTGCTTAGGAGCCCTCCACTCGGGAGAGGGCGGACCAGAGCTGACTCGATCGCGGAGAGAGCGGACGCAAGCGTGACGAACGCTGAGGCGCACGTTTGTCGCGAGAACAAGGCGTCCAGTATATTTTACCGCGATAACGCTATAGTTACCCTTAAGTGCAACGAAACTAGCTTGTATTCTAACCGAAGCAAATAAATATTGTGAAAGAAGAAGAGTCAAAATTCTTTTCGACACACATAGTCGCTGACGCACTACTTCCAGAGTCACGTGTGGCGAGCACATGCCCTCAGCGTAATCATTTTTCACGCAACACATTTTGTGATTAATATATGTATAATAATGTTTGAAACTAATCAGTTTTTTTTTATGAAAAATAAAGAAATTAAGGAAAAATTAAAGAAATTTGACGTGAATCTTTTATTTGTTTGTCCTTATT